GATGTAAATTGATTCTCATGGCGTTGTTGCTTATATATATAATTATAATAAAGCAAGGTTCCTTCAAAACTGATTTCAGTCTAATAGTTGAGGGGCTATTAATATAAAAGAGAATTGTTCTCGGCACTCGGCACACTGATGTAAAAGAAGTTGAAAACAGTCCAGTAGTAACAAGCCTCTTACGTAAGAAGTCTGTTGAATAAAGAAAGTAGCTCATTAATAAATCACAGAAAGGATTGGGCTTCACGTAATAGAAAGGCTAACGGTCACTGGATGCGGCGCCAACTAATTAACTGGCTTGATTTAATAGAATTGGATAAGCGAGTGTATAGCGGACGTGGCACTGTAATCAAACCCTTATGTAATGTGGATTCTCCGCCAATTTCGGGCTTCGGAGGGTAGTTCAAGGTCGTCTGTTTGTCGAGACTCCACTGGCTGGGAAACTTCGAGGAATATTTTCGGCTGTACTTTTAATTAAAATGGCCACATTATTTAAATTAATGAGTGTATTTTTTCTAACTTTTATTTTTATTCATTAGCAATTAGGCGAGATTGGGCTTAAAATTAAAAAGAATAAATAACATTTTTGAAGAAAATCAAAGTTGGGAAACAATTCGAGTACTTACTTATATTGAAGTATTTCACAACTCGCCTACGGACAAACTGGAAAAAGAACAATGAGAAGAATGTTTGTAGTTACAAACCGATGGACGCTCTAATGAGAAAAAACTAATTTCTTGAAGGGAGTTGGAGTCGAAAGTTTCGAACAAAATTGTCGGGCGGGACAAAATCTAATCACAAAGGTGGAATTAAAAGTGTAATTATATAAAGAGAGAGAACTAGCTCTAGTTAAGTTTGTACGGAGACTTAATTACGTTTTTGTGTTAAAGGTTAATTGAAAAACAGTTTTCGAGCTAAAAATCGCTTTCAACTAAACGGCGCTGGCTAGTTATTTATTCGCCGGGAACCTTTTTAAGGATTAGCCTAGTCGAATAGCCCGCAGCGACCGACAAGCGTATCTTATTTAAACTTCGTTCGATCAACAGCTTCGCATCCTCGCCACGTTTCCCACTTAGATTTTTAATTTTTACTTTCATAAAGAATGCCTTTAAAAAACTAGGTACTGTTTCTCGGGACCACTTTACGATAGAAATTATTCATTTAACTATCAACTTCTGTTTGAAAAAAACATCACTTTTACTCAAATAATATATGTATAAGAAATCCAATACTTCATATAACAGAACTACGTAATAATATGAAAGACCATTAGTAAATGAATGGGCGAATAAAACTGCTATTTGTTTTCATACAATAATATGGATCATGCTCTTAATCATTTATCTTTAATTATAATAAAATACCAACTTAATTTCCTACTGAAAATCCTTTTGTGTATCGTTCAATATCAATATAGCCACATCAATAAAGAGAAATAATTCCAATGTTTCATCTGTCAACTTATATTTGTTTACATGCATTTAAAACTGTGTACCTACAAATATTAAAAAGAGATTACACATCAACTGATACTTGCTTGTATTAATTGATGTTGAATAAAGTTATTTCGATATTGATAATCATATTTATCTAAAACATAGTGACATGATGACAAAGGGTATTTATTTATTCTGAACTCTAAGTAAAACTCCGTAAGTGGTATACTTATATAGCGTTTGGCAATAGAGTATATTTTTGAAGAGTGGTGTATTTTTAGTGGAATATTGAAAATGTGTTATGTATGGGGTGAAGGACGCAGACCGGTGACTGGGGAATTTATAGGCAAGTCGAATGAATTAATAAATTTGCTTGAGTTGTCTGTTCTAATTATTCTAACATAACAAATTTTTAGTTTTTGTATTTTTTGGTTTAGTTTTTATCAATTTTAGCGAAACGGGAGGTTAGAAAGTTACAAAAAGTAGCCTATGTCATCCCTTCAACTATCTTCGCTTATAAAAACAAGTTAATTCGCAAAAGACGGACAATAAAGCAGACACACACACACACTGTCACTTTTATAAAACTAGTATATATTATAGAACCTATACAATATAATGATAAGTTGAAAGTTGCCAAGGTAGCCGCCATGACCACTTAAAACCTTCAAACGGACTCTCAGACGTCGTCAACCAGTCTGGCGTTTAATAACCGTAAAAAGAGCAAGATTTTACGAAACGAAAATACGTTACCGAAAAAGCTTCACTTAAAAAATTACAGACTAAAATTCTTTTAGCATTTTTTAGCCACTTTAGAGGTTAGGCGACCGGCTGCTGTGTTAAGGGTTGCAGGTTCAAACGTCTGTGAAAGTGTTTGAAATGTTTTGCTTTATGGAACAGGAGAAAATCTTCACATGGGATTGGGATACGGTGCATGGAATATGTGGTCGTGGTACCCGGAGGTTTAAAATGCTTCTCATCCATGAGGGTGCGGTTTCGAAATCTACAAGCTACAGCAAGTACCAATGTGTCACTTTTTCCGAGTTATATGTACTTTCTAGGATTATTTAGACACCAACGACGAACAGTGAAGGAAAACATTGTGAGAAAACCTGGGCCACCAACCTGAATTGAGCAAGCGTGGTGATTAGTGCTCCAACCTTCTCCGTATGAGAAGAGGTTATGCTCAGCAGTGGGTTTTTATAGGCTGTTGGTGATGATGATGATGTTGACGTAGGATTCCCAAAACTGTACGGTATACTTAATATACTTAAACGTAAATAGTTTTCAATTCCAAAACAGAGATTCTGTTTGCCTATTTTAATTGTCTATTTTAAGGGTCTAAATAGAGTAACAACAAAGGACTGCCATGTGATTGACTTCAAACAACGTGCCCGTACATTCTGTTCATGACATCTGTCGTGATGCGCAATGCTTTGATAAAACTGGGAGACGGGACAACTAGCTGTGTAATGTAATGATCAGTTTTTTTTATGGTATAAGCCGGTAAACGAGCAGACGACCTGATGGTAAGCAATCGGCATCACCCATGGACACCTGGAACACCAGAGGCGTTACAAGTGCGTTACCGGCCTTTTGGGATTAGAAGTTTGAGGATCGTTGGGGATTCAGGTATAAGGGAGAATGGAAAAATTGAGGGGGGTAATTGGGCCTCCGGTAACCTCACTCACACGACGAAACTCAACGCAAGCGTTGCTTCACGTCGGGTTTCCGTGAGGCCGTGGTATCACTCCGGTCGAGCCGGCCCATTCGTGCCGAAACATGGCTTTCCCACACTTACGACTATTTAAATACAAAAATAGAGTTTTCTGCGTATGGGATTGACATTGACATGTCAAAATGTAGGTCAAGTTCATACGCCGAGAATACTCTCGATAGATTCTCGCTTTTCTTTCACTCTACGAAAACATTGCGCCGTTTTCCTGTATCGTGGGTGTGTTTACAAATATACAATTTCACACAGTAAAGCTAAAACTGAAACAATCATAATTTATGGAATAACACAAAGGATGGTTCCGTGTGTGACTCGAACCAGCGACATAACAACCGATTGCCCAGCCACCACGCCAACCGTGCAGTCATAACCGTGTCTTTTTTTTAAGTGGTGAAAATCATCGAATGACTGCTCCCGCCTGGATGAGGCGGGAGGGAGTGTCAGACTATTACTGCCTAAAAACCACCCCGTTTCTTCTCCTGCACGTCGAGCCGGAGCTCCGGTTACCCGTCAGGTTCTCCGCGACAGTCATAACCGTGTCTAAGTGTCATTTGATCCATACCATTGATTACTTTACTATTTATCTATTAATACAGGTAGGCCGCCATTAAACCACGCATTTAATATTATAATTAACGACAAACTAAATACGGTACTTATCTAGTAATTTGGTTTCGCAGTAATTACAAGTGTGTTATTATATTTATCTCATACTAATCATAGCCCGTGGCACGCTATTCTCCTACCTCTACATGAAGTTTTGTATGACATTTAGAAATTATAGATTTGTTAAAATTCACTAGTTATCTTTAGGTATAATTTCCTGGTAAGTAAAAGATTATAAGACAGAAATCGTTATCTAATGTTGAAAATCATGTCCTTCAGAAAGGTCTTTCATCAGTGTAAGGAAACGTAACCATGACTTCGATCTATAATTATGTAGTCCTACCGCAACTAACTTATCTATTTGTACTTATATGCTCATAGTAACATCAATACGTATTTTTTTTTATAAAGTAATTTTTGTCGCAAGTACGGCTGGCGGGCAAGATGTCTCGGGTTCGATGCCCGGGTCGGGGTTAATTATTGGGTTTTTTTTTTACATCTCAGTAGAAGCACGGAGTCTGAAACTGTGCCAGGTATATGGCAATAGGCTCACCTCATATTACTTATGACATAAATAGTAAAAGTGGCTGTTATATTGTACAGTGCCATTAAGTGCCGTAATGTGCACCTCTGCCTACCCCTTCGGGGGTAAAAGGCGTGATGTTATGTTATATAAAAGAGTAATGTTATTGCCACAAATGTAAATATAGATAAACCATCAATCATGATAACTGTTTCCCATAATGTTCAGTAGACAATGGAACATCAAATGGCTTGACGTTCGACCCTGCCATACGTATTTCACATTTTTCTCATTCATCAATCTCTTCATGTCTGTCCGCTGATTATGGAGACTTTTAATTTAGCCCTTTTTCAAAAACATGGCGTGGGCTTTTAATATTCTGCTGTGGCGGCACAGGCTTTCACTTTGACGGAGGGTTCAGGCCTAAATCCATTACCATACGACCTATATACACTTACTTAGGCGTGTCTATCTTCGTGGTATTTGGCAAAGGGAGACAAACAATTTATTTAAAATAAGAACTGTTTGTATAATGAATGAAGGGGCATGCAGAGGTGCATATTACGGATCTAAATACTACTATACTATGTAACATCCACTTTTCACTATTGATGTTATGAGTCCCAACTGTGGGTACAGTTGCCAAAAACTGCATCAAGAAGTAACGGGACGACAAAAAGGTCCAATTATAAGTACTTACCTCCGGCTAAGAAGCCGAAAAACTTAATTTTCCTTTTCGGGGGTTGATCTGCAACAAACGAAAGGTTCTAATTAATTGGGTGAGCACGTGAGTCGAGTTAGTTTCTTATTTTTTGTACCTATGTTTTCCTTAAGACGTCGACTACTTAACTAACTATATCATCTCGCTTGTTTTTACTTACAGACATATTTAATTCAGTTATGTTGCTCTACTAAACGCTTTTCGTTCCTAACACTAACTAGATAAGTAATCTCATACTTATTATATAAAGCTAACCAGTTTCTTTGTTTGTTTGAACGCGCCTATCTCAAGAACCACCACTCCGATTTGAAAAATTATTTTGTGTTGGACAGTCTATTTATCGAGGAAGGCTGTGAGCTTAAAAATATCGCGCTCCGTTTAATAGGAACCGAGCAGGAGGAAGACCAGGATCAAACAATATAAGTAAAGACTCAAAAATAAAAATACAGTAGGTACGTCATGTTTTTCCAATAGAAATACAAATGAGCATAAAATTGTATTCAACCACCGTTCAGGGGAAGGAATTAATAATTCGTGTATTTTGTGATAAATAAACAAATACCTTTTATTTAAATAACCTGAGAACGAATCCATGAATAGGTAAAATTTTCTAGCAATATAAAATGAATTATGTTGATAATCAGTGGATAATAAATTGTAATGTTTTAATATTATTCATAACGAAGTATGAATCGAAATAAATATAATTATGTACTAGTTAATTAAAGAGACCCGTATTTGTACTTAAAAACACATGATGTGTGTTTTATGCATCTCGGATTTCCTAAACTCTGGATGCAGAGGGAGTAAATATTTACTTTTTGTTAGAACGAAATATTTTATTATAATAACAACGCCAATTTTTATACAATTGCTATTCATTTATTGCCAGTAATCGTTTAAAATTTTAAACTCAAGTTATAACAAAAATTATGTTTGGAACCCAAGTGTAATCCCCGCATTCAAATCTCAAGTGTCCAATGAAATATTCAATGGATTAGTCTGGCCGTTCCAATTAAGGTACCATCGATAACTTAGAAGAACAGTATTTCGACTATCATTGAGAAGATTAAATTAATAAGCTTACAGATAATTATTTGTCCCACCTGAAGCAAATTAGAAAAACCCAATTCAATTACAAAAATATAAAGAAAAAAATCGCCCTTTTAATACCTTTCTAATTAATCCGATTATCAAAAAAGGAGTTTTGTTAAAGTACATTGTGAAATTACGAAATTATGATCTTTAAGCTACAAAATCAATTTCTATCTAAATATTATCATATACTTTTAAAATTAATCGGATTAATCTCCGTTCTACCGACATTTGCCGTTAATTTCAGAGTTCCGCAAAGAAAATCGGGAAACGAACTTAATTTGTCACTGACAGAGAGAAATGCAACGCCTCAATGGTTCTGCCGATTAAATTCCGTTTTACTGCGCAAAAAGTCCAGTTCATTTTTTCTCCGGCGAAATTGCTGGCTTTGTCCGAGTTAGCTATTATGTTCTGTTTATTAATATTATGGCTTCAATCTTTTAAATAAGTAAAATACCATGTTATGTGGTGTTTCCTCAATTAAAATCTTTATTTTTATTTAAATTATTTAATGTTGTGATTTTATGCTAATCTCAAAGCTGTGGAACTTTTTCACGTTTATCGTGACTAACTTAATACTACTTAATATTTATTATAACAATATATTTGACCAACTCCACAAATATAACATCATCATGATCAACAGATAGATCCACTGCTGACCAAAGGCTTTTTCTAGGACGGAAAAGGTTTGAGCATGCACCACGCTTGCTCAATGCGGGTTGGCGATTCATGGTCACCAATATACACGTTTGATTCCCTAAAGTATTACCTAGTGTGACCAAAGTTACACCCACTTTCGTAAGTGATGACGGGTCTATTGCCTACGGACACATTTCAGAACTACGTGCCCTCACTTAGAATTTCCTAATATAAAATCCTATCATATTTGTCACTAAACATCAACTTACAGGGCTGCATGAAGAAATCCCATAAGGGATATGCAGTACCTATGTACCTCTGTTTTGTTATATTTTTTTTTCTTCTGTGTATTGTCTATGTGGTGTACATGAATATATGAATAAATAAATAAAAATACAGTGGTTGTAAATACACAAGTCAAAGAAACAATCAACCATTGTAATAGAAATGTTGTTAAACAAAACTTAGTCATATAATGTTAGCAACTGGACTAAAATTGCTAATTATTTATTTAAGGTTATTGTTATGGTCAGTAATAAGGTTTTATGAATGACAACGATAAAGAAATCGTCACTAAAGTTTAAAAATAAAACATCGGTCCACCATGTCTCAGTATAACGCAAAAATTACATAACAACATCACGCCTTTTATCCCCAAAAGGGTAGGCAGAGGTGCACATTATACCACTGTACACTGTAACACACACTTCACTATTTCTGTTATGATGATATATGATATGCCATATACCGGGCACAATTCCAGACTCCGTACTACTACTGAGAATATTTAAAAACCCAGTAATACTTTGCCCGACCCGGGAATCGAACCCGAGACCTCTTACCCGGCAGTCGCAGTTACGACCACTCGGCCAACGAGGCAGTCGTTAAATTTATTATAACGCAAAAATTATCGAACTGTAGCGCAAAATTGAATGAAATTTGTTAATACGACGAATATGTGCTAAACTTGTATGTTGCTTACCAAAATATGGTCTATCATTTACATAGTAGGTACCACATGACAAGTCGCAGGACAATTGAAATGCTGAACATCAGTTCGGGGACAGCAAAAACAAGTTGTCAGTGTTACCCTCGTGTTGTAAACATTGAATCAACTTTTAACCATTACCATCATTTGCTGTTGCAGGTTTTATTTAAACCTGATTTATGTTTAGTTGGTCTTGGGGTATTGTTACATGATATATTATTAGGTGTTAGAAAACATTCCAATATTGCCTTCTTGTATTTTCAAAAACAATCCATCGTGTCTTCATTACTGAAGCATGCTTTAGATTTATAAATATCATCGAAACTATACCATACTTGCAAATAATATAACGAATAATTAAAAAAAAGCTATACGTTTAACCGGGTTTGTTAAGCCCCTTTAGAAATCTCATAAAAGCAAGTTAAAAAGAAGTCCATAGCAAATTCCCAATTCAATTGAAACAAAGGCCATGTTATACACTCGAGTGTAGTTTGTAGTATCGAGTGACGAGTGTCATTGTTTACGTATCAGACCCTTCCCTGCCTCGGACATCACGTAGCGAGCCCTGCCCTGTGGCACCCGCCGCCGCCCGACGCCCGCCGTCCGCCGACGAACACATTGACAGCCCCGACCGGACAGCCAGCACGATGAAAATGGCTGACATTTGCTTTTAATAGAACTCGTAACTCTCTATTGCACAGAACATAAAAGCATTTACACTTAAAATGTTCACTGTTTCTCTACAAGCAGTTCTGTCATCAATATTGAAATAATACATTTGAATCAAAATAATCTTTCCCAGGCTTCTTATTTATTCAATCTCAGGTACCTACTGAAACTTGATAACAAAAGCTGTCCCAGTTTATTTGTTTCCCAAGAAAATGAAACAGAAATCGAGTTAGCCGGCTCGATCTTGGCTTTTAATTTGTATATAAAAATAGTAATTTGCCGATTGTGAGGCTGATTTTAATCTTGAAATTGAGACAGACTGCTGGGCCAGAGTTACCGGTAAGTGTGCTGAGGTTGAGTGGCAGTGGCACAAGGGTTGAAACACACTAGGCCCTTTTGTTTGTTGATTATATTTGATCATGATTAAGTACTTCACGTCTTTGAAACGTGACGCTTGCCAACACCACGCATGATTAATAAGTAGGTGTACTTGGATGCAAAACTACTTATACTATTACAGGGTCGACGCGAAATTTCAATCATTTTACCAAAATATAAAAACGCTGGAATAGCGCATAACTTCTGGCGACAACACAAAACTGGATAATTAATTTTTTCCTCGTGTTCATTAATTACACGACATTTTATGTTATGTAAGGAAAATGCTGGTTTACGAGGAAAGTTGGGGAACAGTAGCCGTGTGAAGTCGGGGTAAACTGATAGTGCTAGTTTAATATAATTTTAACACAGTTATTGAACAATCGTTATTTGCTAATGTTCCGCGAAATTGATCGGCGAGATATTATCAAATTAAGAGAAGTACTTACTGCTTGTTCCATATACTATAGTAATAGAAAGTGTTAAATTATTTCTATGCAAACAAACAATAAACAAACTCCACTAGGTATACTTATGCTAAAATTTTAATGAGAAATAATCCCGGTGAACAATTTTGTGGCATTGCTAGCGGTGTTTAGTACAATAGATAGTGGTGTAGGTACAACAAGTGAAATGTTAAATGTGAATAACAGTAATTCCTTCCCATTGTTCCGAAAATTTCGGTAATCTCCGAGATTTACAGCAATACTATTGTACTTTAAACTGTTCGAGTATCCAACGATGTGGTTTCATGCAGATAATAGTGGGATTAATATTTTACAGAGCCGATAAGTGGTTCGTTTATTGTTGATATTGTTTATTTAAACAGCAAGCAGATTTTTAGTCATATATTTATTGATATTTCCTAAGCAATGCTGTGCTTCAGTACTAAATACAATCGTCAATATCAATAAACTTCGTTTCCTATAACCATTATGGTATTGGCTAAATAATAGTCCTACATGAACTTTCTGTCTATTTGTTATCAACATGGCAACCTATCCAAAACTATGTAGATAATATTGAGCTTCCAGAATCAGGTACCTTGAGTCGGAAGCAAACGCAAACGGAGGCACATCAAGCGTCACTCTAGTAATGTACCATTAACGATAGATGACGACGTCAAAGCGTCCGTCAAACCGAATCACAATAAACGTCAATTAGGATATTGACACAGAGCCTAGTGACCCGTGTGGACCGGCTCTTACAATCGAATCAACATTGTTAAGTATATAGGCTTATGTACAACTATATATA